AGCTATTTTCTAAAATCCTATGGAGAAACCTCATTGCTTTTTTGCAGCTTACTTCCTGGTTTTAGGACGCGTCACTGCAGCTCCTCTTCACACAGCACACTTTTCGCGGCACACGTACTTACAGCCAATCAGCTCTGAATGATGTGAGATGACGTATGGTGGGGATGGCAGCTCTGTGCCCCTATGGTCTTTTTTTTTTTGCCACACACATTACATTGAAAAATACTCTGAGCATGCGCAGTGTAGTTTTTACAGTCACCGTTCACTTTGACAGTGAGTGGGTGGGGCATGGTCAGGTTTTGTCCCAAATGGCTCAAAATGGCACTGTAGACACTAATTAGAAGAACACAGACTAAAACAGCAATGTACAGACGAATCAGATGATTAAACATGACCTTAAAATATATTTTATATATTTTTTAATTTCTTTTTTTGCATCTCTTTGCATTTTTTGTAATCATTATGTGTAATACTTTCTGCTGACACTAGGTGGGGCTGTGCCAGTCGCCACTGTACATGTGAATGATTGAGCTCATTAGTGGACTGACTGGCCCTCCTAATTTGTTCCTTAATGACCCCATGATGTGATTATGTATATCTTAAAACCTTTAACAACTATATTTAGATGTTCACAAATATCTACATTTATGTATAAAATACATGTGTAGCAGTTAGACAAACATAATCAATAGATTATCTCATTAATACCTATTTTATATATTAAAAAAAAGTTTACTAAACCACCGTTTGTTGACAAAATGATTTGGGTTGAAAGTTATACTGTTGTGTCTCAAACGGATAGACTAGGTTATTAATTTATTTGCCTAATAGTTGCTTGAAATGCTACAATAACATTTGCAATTCGTTTTTAATCTGCCATGTACGATCTCAATAATAAGTGTCGTCAATTCGCTTTTAATCTGCCATGTACGGTAATGTCTCTCAGCCACCTGTCGTGTCAGGTGGGCGTGTCGTGTAGGGGGCGTGTCGTGTAGTGTCGTGTACTGGCCGCGGCCGCAGCTAGACCATATTGCAATATACACCGGATTGTGTCAAGCTCAAGCAATAGTATGAAGCTGCAGCGTCGGCCAAAAGAGGACAAACAAAAAAAGAGATAACTTAATAATTTAATATATTTTTATAGAAAACACAAAGTATTCAAATTTAAAAAAGAATATAACAAAACATTTTTTTTAATATAATATATAGTCCAATCTAAATCCTTTTTAAGACTGAAGATGTATGACTTTAATGACGACTGTTTTGAGGAGCGTGTCATTAGCGTGTTAAATTACACGGCACACCTCTGTAACCCAGAGGGCGGGACCCTCTCCCAAAGGATGCTGGGAGTTGACAGAAACAAACCTCAGACTGTCTGTCACTGCGTCAGATTATTTTAAATTAATTTGTCTGGAGAGGATACCGTCTCTGAAACAGATTTATGGCTATATATATAACCTGTATTTTAAACCAAGAAGGGCTTTATCATGATTGCATAAATAAATGTGAAAAACTGAAGACATATCTTAATAGCTGCAAAAAGTCCAGAAGGAAAGTAGCAGGGGTAAAGTCACATAACTGATCATATCTGCAACAGGAAATACAAGAGGAGGAGAAGGTTTATTCATATTAACTGATGACAGATAATATTCAACTAAATCTCATCCTGGAATAACTTAATGTGACGGAAATGGAAAAACAACCCCCCACAGGAGCGGACAAATAATCACAAATGTACATGAGCAGTTTGTTTATAATGTAGGCCTACTTAATGTACGGAGTGAAGGTAAAGAAAGCATCTGTGCATATACAAACTTTATATTTGTTTAGATTTGAGGGGTTAGAGTTCACTGTGACCTCACAAAAACATCTGTATGGACCATAACTTTAAAAATACTTGCTCATTATGACAATATCCCACAAAATATCTAATAACAGGATGTAATGATAAAGTGAAGTCTTCCCCAAAGTTGCACAGTTTGTATACATAAAGTAAGACTTAAGCATTAATCAGTGAAACAACAGAATAATAGAATATACATTCTATTATTTGATTTATTTGGGAGGCGTGTGGTGCAGGTTCAAACCCCACTGCAGTCAGCATGTCGTTGTGTCCCTGGGCAAGACACGTCACCCCAAATTGCTCCTGTGGGGATTGTCCACAGTATTGAAGTCGCTTTGGATAAAAGCGTCTAACAAGTAACATGTAATGTAATGTAATATTTCTATTTACATTAAACAGACTTATGATACTTTAGCTCCTTCTTGTGGCCACACTTATGTCCCACACCCCGAGTGGCAATAAACTGCCCTATGTTGTTTCCCTTTATCTTAAAAATATAATAATATATTATAACAATGCATTATATGAACCCTGCAAGGACAAAACAGGAGTATAAAATAAGGTTAATGTCAGGAATGAACAGGTTACTTTTAATCGCAGGATGTTGCTTTTGTTTAAAATCCTGTTGTTATTATGATAAATTGCACAAAACTACTTTAATATGTGCATCCTAGATTATATGTTACTATCAACTGGAAAAACAACATAAAAAACAATTGTTCTTGTTGGTTTTTGTTGTAAGCTTCACTGTCTGGATGTCAAAGCTCACTTTATTAATAAACTGCCTAAAGTCACTAGCTATTTGCAAATGTCTGATACTGTTTTTCTTTCTAGGGTAGGGTAGAGATACGATATAAACTGTAATTTGATAATAACTGATGTCTTAAGATCAATTATTTTGGCATAAATTTGGCATTTTTGTTCTCATGACACACAGCAACATAACCTCAAATGACCTGAAAAAGACTGATGTTTGCCTGCCAAACACAGTGCAGGTTAATTATTTATTTAGTTTATCACATAACATGCTGCAGAGGAATGTAGGCCATCTACAGAAATGATTGTATAACAATCTTTAACCCTCCTGTTACATTCAGGGTCAAATTGACCCGTTTGAAAGTTTGAAAATCTACGAAAAATACTTTCAAGTATTTTTTTTGTATGAAACTTCTTCTACTTACCTTAATTAGTGCAATAAACAAGTAAAAGGAAAATGGTTCATGTCATGCATTTGGAACCCCCCCCCTACATGTCTATATCACAGAGATGGTATTCGGGTCAATCTGACCCAGCAGTGCAAGTGGAGGCTAGAGGCTAAACTATGGGTTAACCCTCCTGTTATATTCGTTTTTTGTAACAGCAATAATATTCGTGGGTCAATTTGACCCAGTGCATGTTTAATTATCCAAAAATGGTCAGAAGCCCCAAAATCCAGATTTTTTTTTTGTACATAGTTTGTACCTTTTATTACTATCAATGAAATCAATATTTAGTGCAATTGTGTTATTCACCTCTCACAGATCATGGTTCCATTAGAATAAGTCACTCGTTTTTCACAAAACATATACATTCAAACACATTTTTCTATTTTCTTTTTTACATTGGAAAAACCTTGATATAAAATACATTAGTTTTGCATAACATAACATTTTTTAAATTACTTTTAAAATGTTCCAACTTTGTTTCCAATTGGTTGATGTTGATAAATAGAGACGAGACACCTCTTCTGTTCAGGGTCAAATTGACCCGTTCACTTACCAAATTAGTCGTGTGTGTGTGTGTGTGTGTGTGTGTGTGTGTGTGTGTGTGTGTGTGTGTGTGTGTGTGTGTGTGTGTGTGTGTGTGTGTGTGTGTGTGTGTGTGTGTGTGTGTGTGTGTGTGTGTGTGTGTGTGTGTTTAGCCTCCACTTGCACTGCCGGGTCAGATTGACCCGAATACCATCTCTGTGATATAGACCAGTGGTTCCCAAACTTTTTGTGCCCAAGGCACACCAAAGGACAAGTAAAAATCTCAAGGCACACCTATTGTGCGAAATAGCCCTTATAACACGTGTTATCACTCATATCATGTAAAATATCTGTAAATGTGCATAATTATTTACTAATGCCAAATAAAATGTGACAAAGACAACTATATTACTCGTGAAATATTTCAGAAATTAATTTGAAACTTTATCAAATTAGGCTTCATCAAAGCACAGGGATGAAATGTATACCAATATAATCTGTGGACTCTCAGGGCTCGACATTATAAATGGCCCGCTGGCCCGGAAGCATAACGTACTTTCAACTCGCCCCACAGCTGTTTGCTGCGGAGCGCAGCGCGAGCAGTCTCCCGTGAGCGGGAGCGCACTCCTTCACTACAGACTGTGTCTGTGTGTCTGTGTGTCTGTGTGTCTGTGTGTCTGTGTGTCTGTGTGTCTCTCTCTCTCTCTCTCTCTCTCTCTCTCTCTCTCTCTCTCTCTCTCTCTCTCTCTCTCTCTCTCTCTATAACTATCTATCAATATATCTATCCATCTATCTCTCTCTCTCTCAATCTATCTCTCAATCTATAAGGAACCGCAGTAGACAAAAGGCGTTGCTATAGCAACACGTCATGTTTATACGAAAAGGGGTGGGGTCAATATGACCCGCTGGGCGGAAATAGGTATAAATGGCAATTTTTTGGGCGATTTCTTCAATCTTACTTCATATTGACAATTTTTAACAACATAGGGTGCTACATAACACACTTTCAGGAAAAGTCACGGACTGGAAGACTTTAATATTTTATTGAAAAAAAGTTACACAGTTCTAGTGTTGTCCTTCAGCCTTCGATGTGTCACGGTCTTATAATTCCCACCTGCAACTGCGTTAACAGCGAAATATGGGGTTCTGTGAGGATTTTTTTTGTAAGAATTGTATTTAGGTATAGAGTTTGCCTCTGTATTATGAAATGAGTGCATACAAAGTACTGATATAGTAAATTAAAAAATAATTATTTTTGTGTAGTTGTATATTGCAATAATAACGTATGGTTGTCACAAAATCCCACGGCACACCCGGACTTGCCTCACGGCACACCAGTGTGCCGCGGCACACCGTTTGGGAACCACTGATATAGACATGTAGGGGGGGGGGCTTTGCATATGACGTCACGTTACCCGTGACGTCATATGCAAAGCCTCTATACAGTCTATGGTTGAGTCGTGTCTTGCACTTGGAAGATGTCTGCAGAGAAAGAGGGAGATATGTTGTGCTTTTTTATCAACGGGAAAAAGGTACGTTTAGCATTTAATAAACAGATAACCATGTTTGAGGTAGTTTTAGCTGTTAGCCAGTCGTTTTTTCAGCTAAAGTCTGTCACAAATGCTGCAAATTAGTTTGCACGAATGTTAAAAGTTGTATTTTTGACTCATAAAACAGTGTGAGGGATTTAGAGAATTAGAATACATGCTTAAATTGAACTAAAAGTAGTTTTTAAGTCATGAACTGCAAACGGTGACCCCTCAGAATCTGGGACGGAAATGGATTAAAAAAATAGCTCCAGAAAAACAGTTTTAGCATCACACAACTGTTACATTTTATGAAGAAATACTTATATTTGACAAACTTAAACTACTTTGTGTTATATTTTCTGAGAAAAAAAGGCCCTAGTGATACAAAAACCACAATAAAGTTCATTTTTGATCTAACAAAGACAGACAGAAAAACCAGAACTTAATACACACAAGACTAATCACACAACAAGACACAGGTGAGGAGGGAGGAGATGGCCTACCTGCCTGTCAGCCTTCCATCTGTTCACAAACTTATCTCGTGCCCTCATTGGTCATGTGCGCGTTCGTGTGTGTTGGAGGAGGGGCTCTGTAAGGAAGTGGCAGATTTTTTCCGGCTGTGTATTTTCAAATTCTAGCACACTCGAGCTGGTTTCTCCAAAATTACCTACCCCACCTTTAATAAGAGAAATATTTACCTTGTGTTAAACAGGTAACAGAGAAGAATGCTGACCCTGAGACCATGCTGCTGTCCTTCCTCAGAGAGAAGCGTATCCTTTCAGACCAAACACACACACACACACACACACACACACACACACACACACACACACACACACACACAAAATAACAAACTGTAACACTGTGCAATAACAATGAAATGTGCAATACACAGGCTTCTGCAATTAATTTGTATTACTGGCTGCAACAACACTACTTTGTATATGTTCCCCTACTTTAAAAAAAAAATAATGCTGCTACTTATTTGTTTACATTGCATGCATAGTTATTTGATTTTAGTTTATTAAGTGTGCTTGCATCTTGGTTATTTCCCTTGACGGTGGCTGCAGTGAGGTTAACGGGAACTAAGTCTGGCTGCGGGGGGGGAGGCTGCGGGGCGTGCACCGTCATGGTGTCCCGCTACCAACCTGCCACCAAAACCATCATGTATCCTTTCTGATAACAATGGAGGACCACTGGAGTATATTGAAAGAACACACAGTTTCCCTTCACCTTACTTTCAGGCATTTCTCAGCGAACGCCTGCCTGCTGCCGCTCTGCTCACTGCAGGGAGCCGCTGTCACCACCGTAGAGGGGGTCGGCAGCACCAAGAGCCGCATCCACCCGGTGCAGGTCAGTGAGGGACGCCTTGCTCATGAGCACCTCAGCATTAAGTGCTGAGGGGGAAGAGAGCGATCATTTGCTTCCTCCATTTCCCAAAGTTATGTGCATGCATGTTACAGCAACTGTAAATGCCTCTGGATGTACAGCCCCAAACACACTTCCCTTTTAATGCAAAACATACCTTCGTCAAGGAACAAATGTATGAGTTAAAGATTTTCTTTTTGATGCTGTGCTTTTTTAGGAGCGGATAGCGAAGGCTCACGGCTCTCAGTGCGGTTTCTGCACCCCGGGGATGGTGATGTCGATGTACACCCTGCTGAGGAACAAACCTCAGCCCAGCATGGAGGACATCACACAGCACCTCGCCGGTCCGTCTGCTGGATTTTATTCATAATAAGCATATATAGCGCACCTTTAAAAATACAACACACAACAAGAATTACATGTTAAAAGCAGATCTGAAAATGTGAGTTTTGATTTGTGATTTTAGAAATTGGTGCAGTCGTGCCTTTTCCATGAATCCAGCTATTTATATCCATGTGAAAACACCAGGTGATTATTAATGAAGTCTCACAAATCTGTCATGCCTCCTTATTCTGTGTTTTGTTTTTCCAGGAAATCTGTGTCGCTGTACTGGATATCGGCCCATTATCGACGGCTGCAGGACTTTCTGTCAGGTACAAAGCTCCGCTCTGCAGGGAATACAAGTTATATCATTCTGTTTTTGCATGACTGTGTCACCATGCATGGGCTAGCAAACACAAGGAAAAACATTAACATAAGTATGTGATTAATTTAACTGCAACTAAAACCAACAGGAAGAAAACTGCTGTCAAGCTAATGGAGCCGGAGACTGTTGCCTCAATGGAGACAAAAATGATGATGAAGCAGAGCATGTGAGTTTAAGTAAAAATAAATGTCTTGCTTTTCTAGTTATTTGTCTTTTTTCTATTTCCCTTTTTTTAAGCATTTTGAAAAACAAATAATGTTTTTTAAGGATCTGAGGAATGAAAAAATACATTCACTTACTAATCTTGCCATGGTGTCCCATGTATCACATTAAATGCTTGTTTTATCTCCTCTCTCAATGTTCTGCAGGAAAAGCCACGGTTGTTCAACAAGGATGAGTTTCTTCCTCTGGACCCGACCCAGGAGCTTATCTTCCCTCCTGAACTGATCGTAAGACATGAGATCTTTTTTCAAGCAACAATAAGTTCAAATGTAACACACTGCTCAGAGTGTTTACTCACAGAGGGTCATTCCAGGTCGTGTTTATCCAATATTGTTCCCATCATGAAGCTGCAGTATTAAAATGCAACTTTCTCCACAGCTGATGTCAGAGAGCGCGAGCCCACAGAGCCTCACCTTCCAGGGGGAGAGGATGCGCTGGGTGTCCCCCTCCTCCCTGCAAGAGCTGCTGCAGCTGAAGACCAGAAACCCTGCAGCTCCTCTGGTGATGGGGAACACAAACATAGGTCAGATTGATTTTAGGTTTATTCAGACTTTCTGCAGTTGTTCCTTTGCCAGTTTATCACAAGTACAAAACAGTCATAGGATCATAAGTAGGCATGATGTAGTGAGTCATTACTGTCCAAGTTGACCTACACTCTGATTCCTGTTAAAGGTCCAGATATAAAGTTTAAAGGCACCGTGCATCCGCTGATAATCTCTCCAACCAGAGTGATGGAGCTGTTTGAGGTCACTCAGACTCCACAAGGTGGGTAAAACACATTTACAATTTATATTTGTACATAATTATCGTACAGATAATAATTCTGCCTGCCAGTGCAGAGTATAAAAGTACAGAGTTTTTTTTCTAAATTCCTCTCCACAACTTTTCAGGTGTTTGGGTGGGGGCGGGCTGCAGTCTCTCTGAGCTTCAGTCTCTCCTGGAGAAGCTGCTGCTTCAGAGTCCGCAGGAGAAAACTGAGCTGTTCAGAGCTCTGATCCAACAGCTGGGGAACCTGGGAAGCCAGCAGATCCGTAACGTTGCTGTAAAAACACTCTACTAATTTATTATCTAGTATCAGAGAAATATTAGTCCCTTCGATTTAGAGGATGTATTTACAAAGCATGAAGAAGAATTATAGATAATATATTTTTATTTTTGCTTTTACACGTTTAGTCTCTTGGAGGCAACATCATGAGCGCGTTCCCAAACTCAGACCTGAACCCTGTTTTAGCTGCTGGGAGCTGCAGAGTGAGCGTCATTTCTAACGGTGAGTAGATTTCTGGTAGAAGATCCGCAGTTCAAACTTTCAAAAAATGAAGATTAATATCAGACACTTTTGCTCCTTTTTACCAGGAGGAAGACGAGAGGTTCCTATGGATCAAAACTTCTTCGCGAGCTCCGGGAAAACCATCCTGAAGCCAGAAGAGATTGTGCTTTCTGTCTTTATTCCCTTCTCCAGGAAGGTACACATATCGTTTCTAAGAGTCCTCCCATTTGCAGTGTATTCAAATAGATAAGTAGTTTTTTTGTAACAGCTGATAAGAAGGTTAAATCTGATCTCCTCTGTGTGTTCCTGCAGGGGGAGTTTGTCCGAGCTTTCCGTCATGCTCCGAGGAAGGAGAGCAGCTTCTCCACGGTGACCACCGGGATGAGGGTGTTCTTCTCCGAGGGGTCCCGGGTGGTGCAGGACATCAGTATTTACTACGGTGGGATGGGACCCACCACTGTTAGCGCCTCCAAAACCTGCCAGGCTATCATCTCAAGGTGTTTGATTATTAGAAGTAGATAAGCAGGATTTTCTTTCCTCTGTTTCCCACTTTCTTTTTTTCATTAGTCATCCTTGATTTCTTTATTCAATAACAATAACAGGCATGACTATAGAGCGTGTTTCCTTCAGGCGTTGGGACGAGGAGACCCTGAGCCGGGCGTATGACGTCCTCCTGGAGGAGTTGGTGCTCCCTCCTTCGGCTCCTGGAGGAAAAGTGGAGTTCCGTCGCTCTCTGACTCTCAGCTTCCTCTTCAAGTTCAACCTGGAGGTCCTGCAGAGACTCAGAGACATGGTAGGACAAGGACTGATAAAAAAACATGCTTTAATTCCCTCGAGAAACCAGTAAGATATGTATACTAGAGTTTCTGTGTGCAGAATGTGATTACAGATGAGGTTCCTGAGAAAATGCAGCCTCTCCCCAAAGAGATCCAACCCAGCCTGCAGGAGTTCCAGGTGAGAAAATAAATGTTAATCTAAAGCATTTTGCATTTTGATAAACCACTTTTAATATGCAAACCTGACTTCTTCTTCTGCTTGTTCTTCAGCATGTGTCAAAGAGCCAGAGCGAGCAGGACCCTGTGGGGCGTCCCATGATGCATCGCTCCGCCCTCAGCCAGGCCACAGGAGAGGCGGTTTACTGCGACGACATCCCGACGACAGACGGGGAGCTGTTCCTCGCTCTGGTCACCAGCTCTCGAGCCAAGGCTCGAATCACGTAAGGAAAAAGTAAGGATCTCTGACTACAATTTAGATTTCTTGCATCGTTTTTAAACTTTAACTTTTAATCCGACAGAGGGCTGGATGTGAGCGAGGCTCTGCAGCTTCCTGGTGTTGTGGATGTCATCACAGTCAAAGACATTCCTGGGAAGAAAGTCCGTGAAATGTGCGGGTATGAAGAGGAGCTGCTTGCTGAGAGCGAGGTACAGTGTGAGCGTGTGCACACCTCTTTTTAATGGTGTGTGTGTACACTTTGAAAACAGTGATAGTTAGAAAACTGACTGATTTACACTGAAGTCTTACACCCTCTTTACTAATAACACTGTGTAGATCCTTCAAAAAGCAAACAGAATTCCAACTTATTTGTGGGAAAAGACTTGAATTTCAAAGTTCCCCATGTTTATACGCTGATTAATGTGCTCTTTCTGTGCAGGTGTCATGCGTGGGGCAGATGTTGTGTGCGGTAGTCGCTGATACGAGAGCTCACGCCAGAAGAGGAGCAGCGGCGGTGAAGGTCGGGTACGAAGACCTGCCGGAGCCCATCTTCACCACAGAGGTGAGTTGAGTCCAGATTTACTGACATATAACAAATCCAACCCGAGATGCACTTTTTGAGATGGGTTTTTATAAGATTATGGAGTTTCTTGCAATAATGTAAAAACACAAATAGTAAGGTCAGTTAAAGGGGACCTATCATGCAAAATGCACTTTTGTACATCTTTTATACATGAATATGTGTCCCCGGTGTTCCAGGGAACTCACCAAGTGTCAGAAAACACAACCCTCTCTATTTTCCTCCATACCCAAATCTCTAAAAAAGGGGCTGCAACGGATCTGATAAAAACTGATCCAGATTTGAACACTGTCCGGACGTCAGGACAGTGGCGCTACGGCTATTGGGCCAACTCCACCAATCAGGAGGAGACAGCCATGGCCATTGCCGTTCGAAAGCGCTGGAGACGCTGTAGTACATAAACATTTTCAAATTGAGCGAAATGAGGCATGGCTAAAATGCATGATCTGTTTGGTATTTTGAAAAAAAAAAAAGTATAAATATGCCTTATATAGGTATGGTCCTACACTATATTATTCAAATATAGCATGATAGGTCCACTTTAAGTAAGCATAATTAAGACAAAATGTAGTAGCTGTAAAGAATTTTTTTAAGAAGTTGTAAATCAATCAAAATCTTAGAAGATACATTAATCAATTTTCCCCACAAAATCTATTATTTTCCAATACTTCTTTTATGTGAATCCCTGTGACAGGAAGCCATTGAGAAGTCGTCTTTCTTCGAGCCTCTGAGGAGCATCGAGAGAGGAAATCTGACCGAAGCGTTTAAAACTGTCGATCAGATTCATGAAGGTAAGAGTCTGTCCTGAAACATATTAGTTCTATTAACATCTGAACATAATCAAACACAGCGGCGAGCCGTGACTTTTATACCTAAGCCCTCTGACCTCGAAAAAAAGAGAGTTATTACGTCACAGCCTATACTTCAGCGGAATATCAAAACAACGGCCCGGGGTGCAAAAGGCATCAATGACAGCGACCCTCTACCACACAAAACAACACCATTTATATAAACACCTATCATGACAGGGCACCCACAGCCAAGTAACAATTAAAAATGAATTAAGTCGGCACGGCGGCCCATATTGAAAATGACTTACCTTTTGAGAATCAGATCACTTAAACACAAAGTCCATCCTCCTGTCCTTTTGGATGAAGCACTTGATGGCGGGGTTATGCAGCTGATCCTTTGCCACTCCAGTTTATCAGTGTAACTCAATCTTGAAAATGACTCTGTTAATAATTTCGCAACGATGTCATCACTATCACTGACATGAGCCATCATGAACTAACTTATGCTAATCATAAATCTATCGACTAGATTTATGATTAGAAAATTATAAAAGTAGGGTAGACATGTGGATATTATCCGGCTGAACAAAACGTGCATTTATCTAACGGGTTCGTTTTCCACAGACCTTATTTCGAGCTATTTTCCAAAATCCTATGGAGAAATCCCATTGCTTTTTTGTCGAGGTAACGATAGTTACTTCTGTAACTACGGTTCTATGAGTCCCGGATGACCACCAGAGGCGGTGCTTTAGCACTGGATATGTCCATCGCACGCATGCGCAGCTCGAGTACCAATAACAACAAAGTCACCTGTGACCCACGTGACACCGGCTTTATATGCCAGTGTATTAAATATTTGGCTCGCCACTGATCAAACAAAACCAGGTTTTGTATTTGTCCAAAGTGTTTGCACGTCACTGTGTTTCGCTAATTGTTTCCACAGGAGAGTTTAGGATGGGAGGTCAGGAGCATTTCTACATGGAGACGCAAAGCATGCTGGTAGTTCCCGTTGGAGAGGAGACTGAGTTCAACGTTTACGTCTCCAGTCAGCATCTGTCATTTACTCAGGTACACAGACGATTTTTAGACCATTAGTGATCATCAAAACATTTCTATTACCAATCTTTTAACAATTAACACTTGAAATGATGACGGCACCTACAAAAGATATCTGGGGTTTGATGGATTTGTCTCATTTTCCTGGGCGCAGGACGCTATAGCAGAGACGTTGGGCATCCCGTCCAACAGAGTCACATGTCACGTCAAACGGATCGGAGGAGCTTTCGGAGGGAAGGTCTTCAAAACCGCGATCCTGGCTTGTATTACGTCTGTGGCTGCGTGGAAGTAAGTCACAATGGAAAACAACAACACGCAGCATCAGAATATGTCTGTTTAATACAAAAACAAATAGGTGTATTGAAATTAAATGAGAAACAGAGTAGACTTAAATTCTTCGTTTTATTTATGGTAATTGCTTTGACTGTTTCTGTTTAGGACTAATCGAGCAGTGCGCTGTGTTTTGGAGCGAGGAGAGGACATGTTGATCACAGGAGGCCGCCACCCTGTCCTCGCCAAATACAAAGTAATAAAAAACACTTGCCAGAAGTTGATGGATTGAACATTGTGAATGTTTTCAGGAAAAGTGATAAAATATTGTTGTTTTTTTTCAGGTGGGTTTCATGCAAGATGGGAGGATCGTGGCGGTAGATATCCAGTACTTCATCAACGCTGGAAACGCAGTGGATGAATCTATCGTTGTGCGTAAAATTATTTTATATTTATTTACCAGATGAACAGACAAACTGTAACCCTCGATTTTCTTCTTCTGGCAGATAGTCGAGCAGATTCCGCTCCACTTTGAAAACGCCTACAACTTCCCCAACCTGCGGGGTCGCGCCGCCGCCTGCAGGACCAACCTGCCCTCCAACACCGCCTTCAGGGGCTTCGGCGTGCCACAGGCCCTCATGGTCATGGAGAACATGATCAACGACGTGGCCATGGCGCTGGGACGCCCTGCAGACCAGGTCATTATCCAATCAATATGCTTAGTATTAATCATCAGTGGTACAATCACTAATTCCTGTTTTCAAATGGTGTATCAGATCAGGGAGATGAACATGTACGAGGGTCCGTCCATCACTCACTACAAGTTTGCGTTCAGCCCGGAGAACCTGCGGCGCTGCTGGCAGGAGTGTAAGGAGAAGTGTGAGTTCAGCGCCCGCCGCAGCGCCGTGCAGGAGTTCAACCTGCAGCACCGCTGGAGGAAGAGAGGCATGGCCATCGTCCCCGTTAAGTTCGGGGTCGCATTTTCAGAAAGCTTCCTAAACCAGGTCAGTTTGGTCTTTTTTAGGCATGGTTAGGTTCAGCTTATTATGCTTTATATCAGTATATCTCCTAATATACACTGATGGTGATTGTGTGCTTGTTTGTGTGTAAAGGCTGCAGCTTTGGTGCACATCTATAAAGACGGCTCTGTTCTGGTCTCTCACGGGGGGACGGAGATGGGTCAGGGGCTGCACACTAAGATGCAACAGGTACAGGAAGTTCTTCAGTGTGAGTGAAAAAGACTCAAAATGTGTGACATCTGCCAGCCCAAAATAAGTCAAGAAACACGGTCCTGATGCTGAGTGCATTTATAGAGGAAATTAAAGCTAATGAATAGCTAATGTTTTATTTTGAAAATCCAACTGAATTGGCATATGCTGTCGATTTAAAGTTAAAGAAAGGAACAAAATCAGAATTGACCCTCTCCGGTTCTGTTCCCTGTTTCCTGTCAGGTTGCAAGTCGGGAGCTCCACATCCCCGCCTCCAAGATCTACATCAGTGAGACCAGCACCAACACCGTCCCCAACACCTCCCCGTCAGGTGCGTCCTACAGCACAGACGCCAATGGCATGGCAGTGAAGGTAACATCACTTCCTGTTTGTTTGTTTTTATAATAAAAGTCTCTTTTAATGAAACCATTTAGTTGTAAACTTTATTTGACATATCATTTACGTGTATTGTTTACTTTTTTCTGTTATTCAGGATGCCTGCCAGATTCTGTACCAGCGCCTGGAGCCAATCAGGAAGGAGAACCCCAAAGGATCATGGGAGAGCTGGGTACAATTGCATAATAATGGAAAACCTGAATTAGATAACTAAAGCATTTTTATCACAGATTCTGTTTTCTTTTATTTATTCTCAGGTCATGGCAGCATTTTTGGATAAAATCAGTTTATCCGTTACTGGATTCTACAGGTACGACTTCACATTTATGATCATTTCATATTTATTTATGAATTGACAGTAACACATCCCTGTCCTCAGAGGACCGGACCTGTACATGGACTGGGAGAAGATGGAGGGGCAGCCGTACGCTTACTTCACCTTCGGAGTGTGTTGCTGTGAGGTGGAGCTGGACTGCCTCACAGGAGACTACAGGGTCAGGACATGTTTTATTTTTAAAGAGATAAATCTGCATAAAATAAATAAATAACGTTGGTTCTTTTTATCCTGCAGACTGTAAGGACAGACATTGTGGCGGACACCGGGAAAAGTGTGAACCCCTCAATTGACATCGGCCAAGTGAGTGGCTGATTTAAATGCAACAATAGATCATAACTAGAGAATGCAATTCCTGAAGAAATTGCTAGTGGGAATGCTTTATGCTGAAAAGCTGACGCTGAATTGCTATGCTGAAATGTAATGTGTAAGAAGAAAGTGAAGAATTTAGATTGAAATGATACATGAACACTGGGGGCTTGAATGTGTGATGAGAGAAGAAAAGAAAGTAAAAAAGGCTTGGAAAAGCAGCAGAATATTTGAACTGCAAACTTTTGAACTAACTTGATGGCGAATGATCTGTCGCCATGCCAACGGCATTTGATGACATCCCATAATACGCTTAGATGCGTTGATGGCTGCATCGTTACCAAACCTGTGAAGTTTTGGGCCGTTTGGAGCATTTTCACTGAAGTTATGAGAACCGTGTTTCATGGTGAGCATTGTGTTGCCATGGCAACAGCATTTGAAGAAATCTCAAAACTGTCCCGTAGATGTCTTCACGGCTGGACTGTTAGCACACATGTGAAGTTTGAGCACTTTTTGAACATTTTCATAGGAGTTATACATTACATTAGGAGGTTACATTACTCTCTCTCTTCTCTTGATCGCCCTCTCAATCTTCTATCGCCCTCTCTCTCTTCTCTTGATCGCCCTCTCTCTCTTCTCTTGATCGCCCTCTCTCTCTTCTCTTGATCGCCCTCTCTCTCTTCTCTTGATCGCCCTCTCTCTCTTCTCTTGATCGCCCTCTCTCTTCTCTTGATCACCCTCTCAATCTTCTATCGCCCTCTCTCTCTTCTCTTGCTCGTCCTCTCTCTCTTCTCTTGATCGCCCTCTCTCTCTTCTCTTGATCGCCCTCTCTCTCTTCTCTTGATCACCCTCTCTCTCTTCTCTTGATCGCCCTCTCTCTCTTCTCTTGATCGCCCTCTCTCTCTTCTCTTGATCGCCCTCTCTCTCTTCTCTTGATCGCCCTCTCAATCTTCTATCGCCCTCTCTCTCTTCTCTTGCTCGTCCTCTCTCTTCTCTTGCTCGTCCTCTCTCTCTTCTCTTGATCGCCCTCTCTCTCTTCTCTTGATCGCCCTCTCTCTCTTCTCTTGATCGCCCTCTCTCTCTTCTATCACCCTCTCTCTCTTCTCTTGATCACCCTCTCTCTCTTCTCTTGATCGCCCTCTCTCTCTTCTCTTGATCTTGTGTACTTTCGGGTTAATAATGTGGCCTTTTTGGCAGTTTAAGAAAGGTGTGCGGCTGCTGCTGTGAGGAAATATCTGCCTGAAATTACAATGGGTTTTAATGGAGACATGTTGAAAGTTTTTGTCACTTCATGCCCTCAAGAGGCATTTTGTTTAATTATTTTTGCTTAATTATTTGTCATTTTTCAAGCTACGAGATGTTTTCCTACGTTTGTCATGAAAAATTATGTCTCAGGAATGTAGGGTTTGGGAATTATGGCAGTTTAAAGAAAAATATGAAGGCAAATTTCAAGATTTGCTCCACTCTAGCTGTGACATCACGCACTCTTTACCTCTTTACCAAGGTCTGAACAATGTTTAATATCTCTAAAAGTAAGAATCAGATTTAAAAGTTGTGTTACACGAATAATGTCAGAAAGATGTGTAACATTTTAAAGTTGGAATGAGGTTTCTGAGTGAAAGTATGAATGAACAGTTAGCAGTTGAAGTCGCATGAAGATTGTTCAAGTCTGAAGAATTTCTCCATTGACTTCAATGGTTAAAAATGTGATGAATTATGGGATGTATCTCTGGAATTATGAAAGTTATGAATGATAAAAGTAATAGCCATCGATTCCCGACCGAGCTGAACGTTTTGATGTTTGAACGGAGTTTCTGCGATGTTCAATGCAGGAGGAGAAGGCCGGCAAAATAACGGGCGGAATAATAAGAATAAAGAATTTTGTGCGTAGAAGAACAGATAGTGGGAATGCTGTTAACAGCATTCCCACTAAATTAGGATAACTAGGAACAGATGCTCTTCAGAGTTTACTCGAGTTTACTCGTTTCTTTTATTTGTATTTTGATCTCCATTTCCCCCTTTTTCTTTACTGTTTAACATCTTATCTTTTGTCTCTTCCTCCCTTCCTTTCCTGTCTCCTCTCTCCACAGATTGAAGGAGCCTTCATGCAGGGTCTGGGTCTGTTCACTCTGGAGGAGTTGAAGTTCTCCCCCGCCGGGCTCCTGTACACTCGCGGTCCGTCTCAGTATAAGATCCCGGCGGTGTGCGACATGCCGCTTCACTTCAATGTCTACTTGCTGTCGAACTCCTACAACCCCCACGCCATCTACTCCTCAAAGGTTCAATATTTATTTTGCATTGTTGACGAGAAATAATACTCCTGTGGTTTTTTCTTGACTTTTTCTCACTTCTCTGATGTGTGTCAATTAATAAAACAATAAATGTTCCTGGTGTTTGGTTCTGCAGGGTATTGGAGAGCCTGTCCTCTTCCTGGGCAGCACTGCGTTCTTCGCCATCAAAGACGCCGTGTCTGCAGCTCGCTCTGACTCCGGGTTATTTGGCCCGTTTTCTCTAAACAGCCCTGCGACTCCGGAGAGGATCTGCCTCGCCTGCGCCTCCCCGTTGACTCAGAAGGTAAAAACTGCAGAGATATGGGTGTTTCTACACAGAAACTGCAGTGGTTGAGATCAGTTGAAGTGTTTGTTTTACATTGTACCTGCCTAATTTACTGTGATTTCTCCAATAGCAGGTATTTATTTAAGGTCTGCTATTCTGTCATTGGTTTTATTTGATTTCAAAATGTTATTCTGCCATGGTGTAAAATTCCAGAGATTTTACATTTAGCATTCTCCAGTGGTGATATTTGTTGGTTTGTGTTTTATTTTGTTCCCAGATTCCAGCCAGCAAACCAGGATCTTTTACACCATGGGCCTTAAACATCTAAAACTCAACCTGTCAATCTTTGTATGTGAATACTAAAGCAGTGCATGAACGCAACAAACAATAATGAAGTAATACAGTTATACTCAATGATCTATAAACCTTCTCTGTTCTTTTGAACCAACCAATGAAACGTTTCTAATTTTTATTGTGACATTTTTTTATTGCAATTTAATTGTTTGCCCTTGCTCTCATCCTCCAGTATCACTATTTCAATAGAAGAATACATAATTAAGCACAATATTAAAATCAACAAATGATCTGTGTTTCCTCTTTATTATTCAGTGGTATTCCACAAACGTTTTATGACTGATACAAACAAATATTTGTATTGTTTTCTTTTTAACCTTTAATCAAAAAAGTAAATTGAGTAAAACTATTGCTAATTAAAACAGATCAGCCTACCTGGTAAAGACAGCTGAAACTTCATGTCTAGAAAAATCAGAAAGGGACACAGAAGCACTTCTAGAATGGCCCTATAATATAAAACAAGTGATGTAGATGTGACTCAATATTTGTAAAATAAACTGGCTGAATTGATCAAATTAAAATGTTGATATAATACTTAAAATGAATATGAAGTATGTATTTGTTATTTCCATGGAACAGTGTCACCCCGAGATATGCATGCACCTCGCGGGAGCGCGCACAGCTTCAAGCGAAAACTTCCAGACATTTCAATGATTTGTACGGCAAAGCACGGTTTGGAAACGATATCATTTTCTTTTTGGTTCATCAATGGTGATAAATAATCTGAAGTCTATAGTTTAAGAGTCATTAATATTTTATTTTAGTAGCATTTCCTTGATGTGATTGGTCTAAGTTTGCAAGGTTTGTTTGATTAATTATCATTATTTCTCAGGGCAAATTCTCTTGTGTTCTTTTCGCTGTGTTTTTAACCATTTCAGAGAGCTTTACTAAACTGTTATTCTAAAATGAGGTTTTGAAATGTGAAAATAATAATGTAACGTCCACTTCAAAACAGTACAACATATCAGCTGGTAAAATTGTTTAATCCTCCAGTGTATGTAAAGGAACTTAATAGGTGGATGCATTATTTGGCAACGCTGGTTTTGTTTTTTAAATCCTGTCAGCTAAAAAACCAGCGAGAGATGTTGCACACTAGCTTTAGTCTTCGGGTCCCATCGAGAGATGGGACGAATGTCAGAGAAAGCTCAATCATGGTTTCCAGCTTTGTGGACATTTCATAAAGCGCTTCATATTTGTTTTGGGAGAAACACTCCTGCAGCATCCGTAAACTCAGAGTGCGGGTGAGTGATAATCTTCAGATTATCTGAAGGTCATGTCTGAGGTCAGCTGCTTTTTACAAGTCAATTTATGAGAAACATAACTTTTAGGAGCACATATGGACACAGTTAGTGGGAGATAACAGCAAAACAGCAACAAACAATATCAGTCCACTTAACATAAATACATACCTATTTTTGAATTTTTTCATTAAGTATTTCACATTTGACTTGATATATCATATTTATGTTCCCAATATTTATGATTTCAAAGTATATTTTATTGAGATATCTTGTTTTGTTCTTCTCTCAGATCAAAAACACTTTGCTGCCATCTAGTGCAACGTTACTGTAAGGCCCCCGGTTCTTATTTTACAACATCTGTTTAAGCTATCCTAAAAAAAGTCAGTAAGTGTTTTGTTTTTTTTAAACTATATTGATATAGTCAAAAGGTCCTTTTGTTTAGCCTCACAATGCTATTGGGTAGTAAATGTGTTTATAGGTCCTGCCCTCTGGCCATACACTCACACAACTTCCAAATCTTCAAAATCTTCAAACAAGCAACATCTCTCTCATCAAACCAGAGGTGAAAATCTCACATAGGCCAGGGAACATCTAACTGTGTCACACCGAATGGCTCACTGTGATCTGGTCTCCAAGACACCCGTCTTGGAGACCAGATAACGTGAGTTCAAACCTCTGGTGGAGATTTAAGATGTCTTCTTCAAAACGAAGAAGTCAAAAACAAGTAAAAGCAGAGAAATGTCATCAGGTCTCATAGCTCAAGGAGATGGAATGGTGGTTGGTATACCGGAGGTTGTAGGTTCGAGACTTATACGTTGCAGAGATTTAAGATGTCTTCTTCAAAATGAAGAAGTCAAATACAAGTAAAAGCAGAGGACTGTCATTGGGTCTGATAGCTCAAGGAGATAGAAGGGTGGTTGGTAGGCCAGAGGTTGCAGGTTCGAGCCTTATACGTTGCAGAGAGTAGATAAGGATAAGGATAAAGGGGTAATGAATACGTTAATAGGGTTAATTGGTTAATAGGATGCTATTTAAGGGAATAGAAGAAAGGAGGGTTAGGAAGTAAGAGAGTAGTGAATAGGATACTATCTTAGGAACTGGAAATGAACAAAGGAGACAAATGTATTTAAAGAAACTTTTGCTTTATTCACATTTATTCATTTTATTCATACATAGCAGAGCAGCCTTGTCCCCAAGTCTGCTAAACGTCCCTAAATCTGCTAAATGTCCCTAAGTCTGCTAAACGTCCTCAAGTCTGCTAAACGTCCTCAAGTCTGCTAAATGTCCCTAAGTCTGCTAAACGTCCCCAAGTCTGCTAAGTCTAATAAGCGGCCGATAGGTGGCTGCCGGCTCTTACTGCACTCCTGTGCAGGGCCCTTCAGTCACTGCCGATAGTCTGCTAAGTCTGTAGGCCTGCTGAGTCTGCTAATGGCGCGTTTCCACTACACGGCCTCGCTTGGCCCCGTTCGGTATGGCTGGGCCTCGTTAGGACTGGCTCACTTTATGGCGCATTTCCATTACAGTTTAGGAACTGGGGCAGTATCTATAGTAACGCAGTGTAGGCGGAGCCGTGACGTGATCTTCAGAGGACCCCAGAAAAACAACACAGCCGTTAGCTGTTAGCACTCAGAGCTCACAGCTCCTCATATATGTTCAGAAACTAGACAAAAGTTAAAGAAGTACAAACCACAGACTGCCTGTGTCATGGTGAATACAGTCGCTGCTTTATTTATGTCTGTATAGGCCGTTGTTGTGAGTGTGGACGGTCGGAGCATATACTGCGTTAGCTTAGCCAATCTCCATTTAGAACACACGCATTTTAAAAGGTTTTTCGCCTGCCGTCTGTCTGCAGACTTGACAAAGCATTAATTCATGGTTTTTACTAACCGGTATCAGTATGTTGTTACTTCGGCATCATTTTGAAACGTGTATTACAATTAAATCACGGTCAAATATGTCCATCTTGTTTTAGTTGTAGCCCCCTTGCCAGCGATGCTCTCTCTAGTTTAGCATACTCAGCCCGACTCAGCCTCGTTGTCTCTGGCCCTAGACCCGCGATTTTATGAGGCCAGAAAAACTGTGAATTAGGACCCGCCGGCGGTACTAGGCCAAGTGGAAACGCAACCAAAGACGGGCCGCTGACGTCACAGCCCTCTTAAACCGTGCTCCGCGCTGTAGTGGAAACGCGCCATTATGGCGCGTTTCCACTACAGCGCGGAGCTCATAAGGCAGGTCATAAGTGTATGACACTGTTCTAAGCTTTGGTTACCTTGGGCTATATCAGCTCCTGCGATCCTGGCCCTGATCAGACCCTGACGCTCCTTCAGACGAAGAATTCGCACTTTGGGAAACTGAGCCATGTACTTGTCTAGCTGCTCCATCAGATAGTCTGCCGGAAGAAAATAAAAAATATGAACACTGACAGCAGGAAAATATTCATATAGCTTGAAAAAGTCTGCTAAGTCGGGGGGGCTGACGTGGCTGGGCGTGGCTAAACATCCAGATGAAAGAAGAGCAGAGTTTTACATTTACTTGTGTCCATGGTAACTGTTCTAGGCACAGCTTTATGACAAACTATGCAATTGCTTTTTTTACATTTCCTTTTTGAAACAAAGTCTTGGACAGTTGGACAATGACCATTGGCTGTCTCAGATCTGATAGCTCAGAGTGATACTACGCTGCTCAGGTAAACTGAGGTTTAAGGTTCGATCCCCATAAGGTGCAGGGATTTTCTGGAGTCCAAGACCCAAAGTGTGGAATTATATTACCAAACGCAACACATATGGGCCAGGTCAAATGGCTGGCTGGGATAAAACACTGCCTTGAAGACTGGAGGTTCTTGATTCAACCCTCTTTATTTGCACTGGTTTTTCAGGTAAAACATCCAAAATGGTGTGAAAAAAGCCTAGAGAAGGGTTTTTCATTTTAAAATGTTGGTGGCACAATTGTGTGACATACTTACAAGGACAGTTTTTTTCAGTTTTTACATTTTTATTCGTCACATAATCTACCAAACAACAGGTCACTGTCTCAATCTAATAGCTCAGGGTGATACAACGCTGCTCAGGTGAGCTGAAGTTTTGGGTTCGATCCCCATGAGGTGCATAGATTTTTGGAAGTTTAACACCCAAAGTGCAGAATTACATTACCAAACAAAAGTTTATTGGCCCAGGTCAAATGGCTCACTGGGAAGAAACACTGCCTTGAAGACTGGAGGTTGTGGGTTCAATCTTCTTTATTTGCACTGGTTTTCAGGTAAAACATCCAAAATGGTGTGAAAAAAGCCTAGAGAAGAGATTTTCATTTTAAAATGTTGGTGGCACAATTGTATGACATACTTACAAGGATAGTTGTATTGGATGCAATGCACAATAACTTGTTCTATTTCCTTTTTTACATTTTCATTGTGACATAATCTACCAAACAACCTAAGACTTTCATAAATGAAATAGTTCAGTGGGATACAACGCTGCTCAGGTGAGCAGGAGTCTTGGGTTCGATCCATGTGAGGTCCATGCATTTTCTAAGTCTAACCATCCAAAGTAGAGAATTAAGTTACCAAATTAAATGTAGCAGTCACTGGTCAAGTGGTTCAGAGGGATAGAACACAGACTGTGAGACAGAAGGTTGTGGGTTCAAGGATTTTCAGGTGCAGTAATATTTAAGTTTCAAAAACCCAAATGAACCGGTCATAAGCTCTTCGAAACGTAATCATCTCAGGACAGATAGCTCAGAGGGATAAGTGTCAGGTCAGAAGACCTGAGGTTGTGTGTTCGAGTCCTCGTGAGCTATAGTGATTTTTAAAGTGCTTTACTCAAAATGAAGAAGATAAATGCGCCCGGAGCACAGGTCTTCATGTACATGTGATGGTGGCCGGATTGGGTCTGTTCTCGGCATTAAGGCGCTGGTGTCGAGTTCGGGTCTGTCGCTTAGCATGTACGGGGTTCGATACTCGGAGTAGCTGAGTTAGGCAGAGTAGCTGCAGCAGTTAGTGCACAGTAGATGAGGCAGGTAGTTCATAGCAAGTGAGGCAGGTAGTTCAGGTAGTTCATAGTAAGTGAGGCAGGAAGCGTAGGGTCACGTAACGTTGGAGTGTCGCGTAACGTAGGAGAGGCAGGTAGTGTAGGATAAGAGTAGGAGAGGCAGGTAGTAGAGGGAGGTAGCATAGGAGAGGGAGATAGCGTAGGAGAGCAGAACGAGTAGATCAGAATTGCAGAAATTCTTTTTTTTTTTGCTTTTTTTCCAAATTTTTGCTTTTTTTGGTCCTGAAAAGCAGCACTGCAGCCGCAGGGGGGATACGAACC